GTCGAGAATAATCAGTACATATTATTGATATGTTAAATATGGATATCATGGACCTTTATTCAAAAAAAAAATAAGTCAATTTGCCACAAACATATAACAAAAATCATGTAGTAACTCTATACAGTCAAAGACATATCATTTATTTTTCGGACCATTTGATCCACTGTCACTGTCTAGTCATTTTCCCAAGAAGACTTTGACAAATCATAAATATATTTATTACACTAAAATGAATCAAAAATTCATTTAAGAACAACAAATCACATAATGTTGCTCATATTTTAAGCCAAAGATACTTTCTGACCAAAAAAGAAGGTGTGGTCAAATATCTACTTGTAACTAGCTTTAAAAATTTGATATTTTGATTCAAACAAACTATCAGCACCATATAAAAAAAATTATAACTTTATAAATGTTTGGCCCTTTTAAAGGTGTGGTCAATTTTGATTTCTCAATTAAAATTGGGGTGCTTCGGTTCAGTGTTAACACCGTTCATTATGCCAATGTGCGATGTAGGTTCGAGTCTCTGCGTTTGCTTAGTTAAGGTTTTTTATTATATAAATTCACACTGGCCTAATGAAACATATTAAGAATAAGGGATTCATGAAATCACTATTAGGCACCACTAACATTAGAAGTCAGAACACCATGCATGGTGTAAGAATCCACTGTCCCGTTGGACAACAAATCCTTTATGCAATTGAAGTCTTAATTCCTTGTAAAATTTGATGAGGCCAATAACTAAAAAACATATCAGAAAAGTTAAATTGATGATCCCCCTTATCGAAAAAACCAAAAAAAAATGTGGTTCACCAAACAAAAGTTCGTTTCCAGCAAAAAAAATTGTTAAAGAGCTTTAAGGCAATATTCTTCAGTCGTGTATTCAAATAACAGAACACACAACCTCGCTCTGATACCAATATTAGTCAAATTTGAGTAACAGGGACATAGAATTTGTGTACCTGTTAACAACAACGGAAGATTTTTGCAGAATCTGTTCCAATCAATTGCCCGAATCCGATTTCGTCTCTCCTGGAAATGAAATTCTTGTTCACGAACTAAATACCTTTTTCTTTCTTCTACTGTGTTTTTATCTTTGTAGGGAGATTATCACAGAGTATTCTTCTCTGAAAAAGGGAGCGTTGATTTATAGAGAGGAGAAGTTCTCAGAGAAAATAAAACTACCGTGAAAACTAGCTCACATTGATCCTCACGCTCCCCCTTACTTTTCAACGTGCGGTAGTTTTATTTTAGGAGTTAAACCTTCCCTAGGTAACTTCCCTTAATTATATATCTCCTTTAAAAAACAGGCCCGGGTCAGTCCATATGGGCGACCCGCGACCCAAATTCAATGTCCAACAGTTATACTAGCTAACTAGATGTGTTTAAGGATGAGAATGAAGGCAGAAAGTTTGTTGAAATTAAAGTTATGGTGGTAGTGTTGAAAGGAAAATAACAGTAGTAGTGGCCTGCTTCCTAGGTGTTTGTTGGTCGTGTCAATGGCGGATGAATATGGAAGGTGAACAATAAAGAGAGATATGCAAAGCATTAGGCTAAGGCCTCATTTGTTTGCACTTAATGGAGGTTTGAATCTTAATCATTCATATCTCATACATTAAGTGCGTTTGTTTTTAAAGTTTGAATCTTAATTATTCAGATCTTAATCATTAAGTGTGTCTGTTTTTTTTACTTCACTACCACTTAGTGGGTCTGAATAGGTCTATATGACTAAGATACATAACAGATACTTAATTTCATTAAGATGTTATGATCCATATTCATTATTAATTGTCGTCACCACCTACCATTATCAACTACCACCATGTCACCACCACCACCACCATACTCAACCTCTCCATCACTACCATCATCCTCAATCATAGCCGCCACCATAATCGACTACCACCCCCCGCCATCCGTACTACTCCCACCACCATCATTCTCAACCACAAACACTCATCATCTCAACTATCACAACTAACCACCCCATCACCATCAACAATCATAACCGGCACTACCCATCATTATAAACTACCACCACCCACCACCATCCGCCATTATTAACTATCACTACTCACCACCACCATCCTCAATCATAATCGCTACCACTACTAATCACCACTAGCTACTACGCTGAACCACCACCATCAACCAAATCTATCACAGACCACCGCCTCTAGTCGGCATTCACAATCACTACCATTAGCCATCACCACCAGCAACTACTATACTTTAAAAAAATTATATATTTTATTGATAGAAGATTAGATTAATTAGTATTTCATTTGAATTTTATGTTTATTAATTTTCAAATAAAAATAAATTTTATTCATTCAGATATTAAAAATCAAACAGTCTTAATCATTTAGTATTCAGATCTTAATACATATCTTAATATCCAGATGCGTATTTAGATTTAAATATCTTAATCTTAATACACATCTTGATATTCAGATATGTATTCAGATTCAGTCGTCTTAATCTTTACAAAAAAACAAATGAAGCCTAGAGTGCAAAATTTTGGTTAGGCAGGCAATAAAAAAAAAGTGGATTATTTTTTCTCATTTTCTGTGGCCATGTGGTGTCAATTTCTTTCTGTTTATTCGAACGCAAATGTCCTGGACAGGTCTGGCTCTGACCAGCCTGCTTGGGTTGATATAAGTAGAATTTTGCACTTGAGTCTATGGTGGCTACATAGTAGAAATGACATCAGGTAGCCATTCTACAGGGCTGCTATTTAGGAATTGACCAATGTGTTTTGAATTTCAATTTTAATTTAAATTTTCAGAACATAAAGTTCTGAAATTAAAATTTTTAGTTTAAAATTTTAAAACAAAATAAGTATTGGCTAATTTTTAAATAGCGGCCCTAAGAATGATTATTTGTGTACATTCCCCGACTATATTATCAGCATGGACGCAGCGTAGTGATTCTTCATATTTCTTAATTAGTCAAAGTCTATTAAGGAAAAAAATCAAGCTATTTGGAACCGATTAGAAAATGTCATGTTAAAATTAAAACAATAAATTTATAAAAAAAAAAAAAAACTCACCCTCTACCCAACAAATTAAAAAGAAAATGAAAATAAATAACTCCCACAACCCCCACTTCCCCAAACCAATAGCTTTCCTACACAACGTGGACCTTCCCCACTTCCTTCACATAGTAATAAAGTAACACAACTTCTCTTCCATCTTCTTATATATACATCCATTTTCCTTTCTTTCTAACTCTCATGGCTTCCTCAAAAATGTCTTTTTCAGATAATATCAATATCAATTACTATTCCTCTCTTTTTCTTCTATTTTTGTTGCTTACGGCATTGAATTTCTCTTTCTTTGAAGCTCTAAATCTTGAAGATAATCAGTCCATGATCAGCAAAGTCTGTGATGAAATATACGTAGTTGAAGAAGGAGAAAGTCTACAAACTATATCTGACAAGTGTAATGATCCTTTTATATTGGAAGAGAATACTCATATTAATGATGATGATGATGTTTTCCCTGGCCTTGTTCTCAAGATTACTTCATTAAAGTCAAGAAAGCTAGGACAATTAATCATAGAGTAATGTTTAATTACTTGCCTTTTGTACTGCCTCTTTTCGTTTATTATTTCTAGCTTCTTAGTTAATTTCAAGTTCCTATTTAATTACCTTCTCTTATGTTTTTGAATAGGATTTAACTTATGTGATAGTACTAGTAGTAAGTAATTTTTACGTTGTCAGTTCATTTTAGTTGGTTATTAACAAGCTATTTAGTTGATTTCAATGCTAGAAAATTTGGATTGTTATATAGACAACTATCTTTTTGTGTGTTAATTTAATTTGACGGTGTAAAAAATATTATATACCACCAGTGCATGTAAGTTTAAAACTTTCAAATATTCCAGTTTTAGCTTAAGTTTATTAGGAGTTTTGCAGAAAAAACTTCAATTTATTCTTGAATTTATCTTGCTTATATTGTAATAAAAATATGTCCAACTGTTCTTTCAAATATACATATTCATGCGGTATCGGCAAAGCAATGGAATCGCTGAAAACTTTGGTTGTTTATCGAAAAAATAATAGAGAATCTGTTAATATTGCTGCATACTTGTATCTTAGTATAAATTCAGTTTTTTTGCTCATGAAATATACTAGTAAACGAAGATCTAACCAAAAATTATACTTGTGCTTATAATATCTAAGTATAAATTCAGTTTTTTGCTCGTGAAGTATACTAGTAAACGAGAATCTAACCAAAAAGTATAATGAATTAGAAGATTTTTTCATGTGGTAAAAAAAATGATGGAGAATAGAATTTCCAAATTGCATGCCCTTGCATTTAATATTTATTAATTTTTCATCTTGCTACGATTTTTCCAAATCATAGCACCTTGTTAAACAAAGAAATCGATAGAAGATCAAAATTACTCGTATGAGTTCCTATCGTACCATTGACGGACAAAAATCCATAGTTTTTTTTTTTTTTTTTATTCCAAGTAAATTATAAGCTAAATTACTTAATTTTCCCCAGTAGCTTGGATTACTATACTAGGCATAACGAATACATAAGGGGGAATATACAAGATTTTCCAGTTTGCTAGCTAGTATTCCATAATTGTTGGTTTATCTTATTTTCTTAAAATATAAGCGTTCAAAATGAATTAGTATAAACAAATACTGTATCATCCAAAAATAATGACCAATTTCATAGGAACCTAGAAATTAAAAGCATCATCCAAATAAAATCACTATAGATGATGATCAAAGAGCAGAAGAAAAAAGAAGCAGATGAAGAGTCAGACGACAAATCCAGCAAATTATTCAATTTCATGTGTATAAACCATATGATCCCAAACTCCAAAAAAATAAGAAAAGATTATTTCATTGTTAATCCCAAAATCTGCTGAATATGCTATATACCTAAATTGCTAAATTTCTGCTCTTATTACTAATACCAGCGTATGAAAGTAAATGTCTAATACTACATCGATAATCACTTCTGCTCAACGCTAAATCTTCAATTATTCAACACAAATTGCTCAAACTTTTTCATATCTCTTTGCATTGTAAAAAATGGATAATTCAGAAGCTGATCAGCAGTTGACCTCTTTTCAGGTTCCTCAGCAAGACAATCAATTACCATACTCTCAAACTCATCTGAAAACACCTTTTCTTTTCTTTTAATCAAATCCAAACCTTTCTTGAATTTCCCTTTTTTCTGCAGCAGTTTTTCAAGTGATTTTGGCAATTTCTTCTTTTCCCTTATCTTCTTGATTATACAATCCAAGTCTTCTCGATTTATCACTGGTAACTCTCCGTACCCTAATTCCAATGCCGTTATTCCCAATAGCCAAATATCTGTTTTTGGTCCATTTGTAGCATTATCTTTCTCAAAAATCTCTGGTGCAGAACCCCATTTAGAAATACTCTTTAGATCCAGAAAAACAGAAGAACTGGAACCAGTTTCTTGAATTTCTTCAGTATTGATATTTTCCGAATTATATACTGATGCTCCATTTGCTAATTTGATCCTGATTTGGCCAGAAGACTCTTCAATATGAACAAAAATATCACCAGCGTTGAAAGTTCTATGAACCCTTCGAAGAAGATGAATATCTTTTAGACCAAGAAGTGATTCTTTAAGAACAATAGCAATACAATCCTCTGACAAAATTTTCTGCGTTCGAGTAGAAAGAATATAACGAAGAGAACCTTCTGACATATATGGCAATGAAACGCATAAAACTTCATTAGTATCGAAATAATTCTTGACTGCTATTAAATTTCCACGAGGATTAGTAAAACTCGTATGAGCTTCCAGTTGCAACTCGACCCATTCATTTTCATGATTCTTGTTTATCGTCTTCAGTGTGACGTGGCCAGAAGGGATAAGTGTACCATTTTCCATAGATTCAGAATGTAAAGCTTTGTAAACTCGGCAGCAACCGTCAGAAGTAGAACCAATTTCTTTGTTGAGAAGGTAAGTATCCTTAGTGTTTGGATCAATAATGGTCTTACCAACTTTTCCTGGATGATAATCTTTTGGTAGACCTGATGATTTTGACCTACGCATTTTGTTGAAATGGATTTATGGGGTTCTGCTTGTTTAATTTTCTTGAACAGAAAATCAGAAGTTTTAGAAAATTGGGATTGGTTTGGAGAGGAAGAGAAGATAATGAAGATGGGAACATGTATTTATACGATTAATAAAGGGACGATAGCATTGGCTCATTGGTTAGTTATTCCGCGCGCCTTAGGTCAAGAAGCCGTTATGATTCTTGGCCTCTTTTGATTTTTCTTTCTTTCTTTTGAATGGGCGAGTTTTCATGTTTTAAAATACGAACATTAGTTTGTTATTATTCTCACGTCCAACCTGTGCTAATATCACTGTTCAAATTGACTGAGTGTTTGACTAAACGAAATTACACAAAAGAGAGAAGAAGGACAGTCTACGCGGGCTGGAGAAAGCAGGGAGAAAAATATTGAGGGGTATCATATTGTCTGTTTACCCTTAAAATCGGATAACAATTGAATTTGTGCGTGGTTTTAAGGATACGCGGATTAGCTTGATACAAAACGATAAATTGAATTAGAATGAACGAGTAAAGATATAATAAATTCAAACCACGCGTGGAGAATGATTCCAGACTTAGTGTAATGTTCGCCTTCGATCCGGGCTCGCAATGGCCAATATTGATGGACAAGAAAAAGAGCTTTTATAACAGTAAATAGTAATGTATTGCTTTGGAATGCGTGTTACCATATGTGTCGTGAATTATCAGACCCCCTTTATATAGTAGGGGAGTCCTACTCTAGGTACAATTTTATAAAAGGTAAAAAATCTTCTGATTAACTGATTGCCGGTTCTTCATCGATACGTGTCGAGACCCCGCCGTGACATCCGGCCGGTCACGGATATTACGGCTTTCTGTTGATCGTGCTTAATTGCCCGATCTCGAACCATGACCCTGATATTCTCGAGGGAGGGCGTCATGTCCCCGGATTCTGATGAGACCTTTACCTCGATTTTGGTCCCTTGTTATCATGTCTCGAGCTTGGTTTATCTAACCGGAGATCGGGGTGTACCATGAGCCCGGTTTTACCCGTATACAGATAGTCCCCTCGTTTCTCAGAGAGTAAGTTGATGAGAAACGACATGAGCTTCCCGACTCCTTCTTCGATACGCCGTGACAGAAACGACAAAGAACCCGAAACGTTTCGCCAGTCATGTCATAATGGCATTAAATGTGTATCAGCCGCCGGTCGGCTGTCCCTGGACACGAAACGTTGTTGATCCTCTATAAATACCCCCTCTTTCGTTCATTCTTCACTTCATGTTAAACCTTCTACCCTCGTACCCTCAGGATTTCAATACTCTCTAGCATTTTACTTCCGTCACTCAAGGTTCTTCAGTATTTTGCAAAATTTTTTACTCATCTCCTACTCAAGCCAACAAGCCTGATCCTTCAACTTTCAATCTTTCTCCATCCTTTCCAGGCTTTATTACAATGGCAAAAACCTCAAAATCTGTTCCTCAAAAAGATGCCCCTCCTTCTTCGCGACCGATCGCTGAGGTCGAAGATACCACTCCTGAAGTGGTTGTTGATGAACCGGCGGAAGAGCCCCCCTTGAAAATGTTCATTCCCGGGGTTGTTTGGTCACCGACGACTTCAAGGTTGAGAAGCCTTCTTCGGTACAGGGCCGGGGCGAGGAGGCCTCGAGATAAATTTGCTCAATTACCGAAGAGGCCCTCCCCTCGGTCCAGAAAGACTGCAATTGGGCCGACAAAGACATAGTGGTCCCCGACTCCGAGGAGGCCATTACTCCCCATGTCGAGGGATATCTAAGTATTTACACTTATCCCTTTACATTGGGCTCAGTGGACCCGGTCATCTTAGACTTCTGCAGAAGGTATAATGTATGCCTTGGCCAAATTCATCCATCTCTGTGGAGGATCGTGATCCTTCTCCGATTCTTTGTGAACAAAATCGATGGGTGCTCATTCACCATCAATCATCTACTCCGTTTGTACAGTCCCCAAATCTTTCAAGGGGGACTCATAAAGCTTGTACGTTGGGCCAACAAAGCCCCGTTCTCGAGCATTGACGAGGATGCAGATCGGGGTTGGCAAGGACATTTTGTCCGGGTGAGGACTGCCGACCTGGTACCTACCTAGTGGAGGCCGTTCCCTGAGAGGTGGAACGTATCACTTAAGTAAAACTCCCTTTAAGCGTTGATTTTATGCTTTATCTTCCTTTTCCTTATCGGTGTTTGTTGTGGTGCAACACTTGTTCGAGTTCCAAACGCTATTCCTCGGCTTAAGGAATGGGTCAAGGGTATTGTGTCTCAGATGCCCTATTCCGAGCGCTCATGGCGCAAACTTTCAAAAGGCTTTTGGGAGGCCTGTTCCCATGGTAAGGTTCCTTCAAAGAGTAAGTCACATCGAACTCCTTCCCTAGCATCGCATTCTTATTTCTTTTATTTCCTTTTGCAGGTTTGCCTAAAACCGTCGAGCTTAGGCTTCCGGTCGGTGACGATGGCTTGCCTGTTGAGTCTCCTGCTCTGAGGTAGGCCGAAGAAAAGAAAAAGAGGAGGGTTCCGAGTTCCTCGACCTTGGAGAAAAAGAAAAGGAGGTTGGTCCGTAAACCAAAGGAAACCTCCAGCTCCCGAGTGCTCGACTCGAACTCACTCCTCCGGCTCAGGGATGAGCCCGAGGAGGATGATCTCTTTATGGCCCACGAGTTGTCTGTGCCCGAGGAACGGGGGACAACCGAGGGGGGAACAAAGGAGGCTAATCCCTCTCAAGTTTGTGACGCTGATGCAGTAGTGAGGGTCGAGAACCCTCAAGACGCCAGTTCTTCCCCGCCCGGTGTTATAGACATTACGGGGCCTTCGTTCACATAATGAATGTTTGTTGAAGCCCGAATGACGAAGGAGCGATCTAATGAGGGTGTCCGTGGAGCAGACGATCCCCTTCTAAGCTTTTTTGACGGTGTAGACTCATACGCTCCTGAGGACTTCACTGGTTTGGGCGACTTAGAGGTGCCGAGGAAGAGTCCATCCTCGGAGATCGGCAGGTCGAGATCGAGCCTGAGGTTGGTCAACCGATTTCCGGATCTGAGCACGGATCCCGGCTGAAAGCGTTCCATCGTTATCACTGTCCTGGAGGATGCCCGGATTCTTTTTGCCCCTATCAGGGTAGCTAGTGACCACTGGTTCTGGTAACCAACGATGACCAGGCAAAAATGAACGAGGTGGATGCGCCCTACTTGTTCAACGAAGTACAACAGGTGCTGAATCGGGTAAGGTGTTGCCAAACTTTTTATTTTTCAGCTTTAGTTCTTGATGATTATTTCTTTTCATATTTGCAAGCCTCGATGCTTCACCATGAAACCTTACCCCGGTATCGGGATGGGCTGAGCCAACTTGAGGCCGAAGTCAAAGTGCTTGCTAAGAAGAGAGACATGTACAAACTTCTCAGCAAGCAACGTGGAGGAGAGGTCAAGAGCCTTTGAGCCAATTTAGATGCGGCTAAGAAAGAACATGCCGACCTGGTGGAACAAGTAAAATCTTTAAAGTTAGTGATGACGAGCTAGACACGGTGACTAATGGTCAGATACTGCAAGTCCAACAGAAGATTGACCGGATCGACCAACTACGAGCCCAGATGGACGTGATCAAGGTCGAGGCCGAGGAGTGGAAAGGCAAGATGGATCATCTGGCCTCGGAAAAGGAGACTTCCCAGGAGCAGCTGGCCTCGGCTAAGGCCCAACTCCAAGCGATGAGGGAGAAAATTGAGGCCCGGTCTTAAACAATCGAAGACCTCCAGTCTCAACTGGGTTCAGCTGTTGCCGATCGGGATACCCTTGCCAAGGAGCTTAAAGCAGCTAAGTCAGTGGCGGAAATAACCAGGGCCGATGCCAAGGATATGGTGGCCCAGTATAAAGCTGATGATGAGGCAGCCCAAGACCACCTGAAAGACATCGTTGACTACGTGAAATGGCAGTCCCGAAGAGAAGCCCTTGAGGAAGTTCATGCTCGGGGTTTTGACTTATCGGTCGAGATCGAAAATGTTAAGAAGCTTGAGGCCGAGGCCAAGAGGTTGGAATATCCCGAGGACAAGGAAGGCTCCGAGGGTTCCGGTGGATCCGAGGGCGGAGAAGGGACGATGGTCCCGGTGATGAGGCGGGCTCCGGTAAGGACTAGGCTGCTTAGGTGCTTTGTAGAGTTTTCTTTTATTTTTGTACTTTTGTACTTTTTTGTTGAGGCCGTTTGGCCTTTTGTAAAGATATTTATGTATATACAAGGCTTTTTTCCTTCGACAATTTTCAAGCTTTTTTCTTTTTGCTTTTTTCCTTATGATTGCAAAGATTTCGAATGCCTTAGCACGCAATACTTAGGTTTTGTTTGGGAATTCGAACAAGGCCCGTTCTTGATATCGTTGTGCTTAGAACTCGTGGGAGCTTGGTATGACCTGAAGCTTTCCCCGAAGTGTTTACTTAGATTTTTTTTTTAGATTACAACTTTACCGAGGGAAGCCTTTGAACTGGTTTAGAAATTTTGAAGGCCTTATGTTTTGGTTATGGATCTCGGACGTCTCCGAGCCATTCTAAGATAGTCGTAGTCTTTTGTGTTCGGTTATTTCCAAGTAGGCTTATTACCTCGGGCTTCGATACCCAAGCCATCCGGGCTTGCCCAGGATGACAGTCTTTGATTGGGGGCAGCCGTAGCTTTTTAGTTTGGGCACTGCCTAATAGGTTTTTGTGCCCCCAGGATTCGGTAGCCCGAGCCATCCGAACTTTCCTTGAACGACAGTCCCCGAGTGGGGGTGATCTCTTGGATCCAGATAGAAGTGGCCCTTGGGCCCGATATCCTTAAGGAACAAAATGTAGTAGTTTTTTAAGAGACAAAATATGTATCTGCAAGGTAGAAACTCTCTTTCATTTCTATGTGCAACATGCAAGACTGCAAATGTGTACAAGCTTCATATTCTAGTTTAAGTGGTCTATGCGGGCACGGTTCACTTGACCGTTTGGCCCTTAAAATAAATCCTATCCACCAAACCCAGACTTG